TGTTGCCGACCGTCACGGTGGTCTCAAAAGGGGAGACCAGCTACTATCTGTAAATGGCGTGTCAGTGGAAGGTGAAAACCACGAGAAAGCTGTGGAACTACTGAAACAAGCAGTTGGCTCTGTCAAATTGGTGGTGCGGTACACTCCAAAGGTCTTAGAAGAGATGGAAATGAGATTTGACAAGCAGAGGACTGCTAGGAGGCGCACCAATTACAACTAAACATAATTATGATTACCAAGGAAATCAGGCTATGATATTGAGTTTCACAATTGCTCCAATTAGGCTACTGGCACATGACTAGCCACTATAGTCACAGGATTAGAAACAAACTTAAATGTGAAAAGTAATATAGAAAATATTAAAATGGTGTAGCTTAGTGTTTATCAAAGAGAGAATGCTATATGGTATTGTTAGCAAAACATTAATTAATCCTATGTATGAAAATAGACTAAAATACTAAAACCAGAAAACACTTTTCAGCTTAAAATTCACATTTTATGAAATTAGAGTCAGCATTTATTTGCAGTATAATATATTAATTAGGATAAATAGCTGTCACAGGTAATGCAATAAAGTATCACATTCTGTATAGCCATAGACACTGCGCTGGTGAACTAGTTACAAGATATGCATGATTTGATCACTGGGATATTGAACAAATCTCTTGTGTTACCTATTTATACTCATTTATATAAAAAAAAAGACTTAAGGGATAAAAATGTAATTAGTATAAATGATAATTAACGACGCTGGAACCAGAGTGATCTAGGGCACAATAGTATATTTCTGAGAAAATGAAGGAAATGCGTTACGCGTTATTATTTGAAATCTATGAGCTTTTTATTATTATTTATTAGTTATATGTACTCCATTTAAGTTTTAAATAATAAAATAACAATTTTTATCAGCGTGAGTTATATATTAAAACTAACAACCTAAAGTTTTACAAAAAAAAAACACTTAGATCACTATGGCAGTTCACAAATTTTAAAAAATGTGATAATAGTGAAAGTTTTCACTTTAATATGTTAAGAAAAAATCACATTAATCATCACCAAATACAGCAGGCAAACAATTTTCATCTTGTGCTTCCTGATTGCCGCCTCTTCTAGGCACGTGTGGTAGGGTCAAGTAAAACTGATGATGGATAGGAGGTACAAATTTTAGAGTTTTTCTTATATCTTGCATTTTTTGATACGATATTCGTCTAGTTTCAGGGGCTTTTTCTGGTATATAATTCTTTAGGTTAAAAAAGAAAGTTTCAGAATCTATATCATTTGGTTTCAAATCAACCGTTTCATATGTTTCCGTGTAGTCATCATTGTAACTAAGTATACTTGAACCTTTACAAAACTTTATCTTCCGCATGTTAGAAATTTTTGCGCCTTCTCTCAATACAACCTGATAAGGTTTGAATAAACATTATTCGAGGCGAGGCTTTCAAAATCTAGAAACTTATTTTTCATATCTCGCACAGTAAAAGGTTTTTGCTTTCTGCACTCTCGGACGAGCTTCATCCAATCATCGGGTGTATAGATATCAGTCTTCTTTTTTAGTTCTCGACTTATAAAAGAGAAGTCAGTGTCGTTAGGTAGGTAAGTATGGCCACTGACTAGATAATGCATGGTCATCGTTTCTAGATATGGCGATTTATTAACCAGAAACATCATAAAGAGTAAAACACTTACAAAACAAAACAAAACCGGAGGCCCAATCCTTCCCCTTCCCCAATCCCTCCTCAATCCCTAAATCTCCAAATCCCTAATCCCTAAAAGGTCGGCAACGCACTCGTAACTCCTCCGTTGCGAGTGTCCATGGGCGGCGCTGATTGCTTACCATCAGGTTATCCGTCTGCTCGTTTGCCGACCTATTACATAAAAAAAAAACATTCCAGTTTCGGTTTTGACCAGAGCAATAGTCGCTAAAAAAACACAATGATTTGATAGTGTTCGACACGGAATCTTCTAGAAAGTAGTGAAGTGACGACATAATTTCTTGCGAGCTCGGGCCCCACAATGTTCTGGCCACATATTCATGAGAACTTTTTCTCCTTCCTTAGTATAAGCATGAATACCAAAGTTCAGCATTTGCAGTTGTCTTAAATAATATACCTCACTAGTATTTAAATAAGGAAGAGGTAGAATTTGTTCCAAATCAAAAGTAGCTATTAATAACGATTCATCAGTTTTGACTTTACCTTAACAGTCGTTTAAAATGTTTCTTACATCGCCAGCAAGTTTAATATGCTGATCTTTTTGTGCCCTTTTAGCTAGGCATTTATTGATATCTCGAGCATATCACAGGTTTTACAAGTATCTGCCTTAGGGATATAGAAGTGTAAATTAAACTCGGTTGTAAATACTTTGACGTAGGCACTCTTTTTTAATATTGGTTTTCCTTCTAACTCGCATTTTACTTTAAAAAGTTCATACATTTTGTTCATTGAAAGATCCGGGCGCAAATATTTTCGTGCTGATCGTCTTTTTCCATAGTGGCTCACAAACTTCGGAAAACTATTAATGTGGTCTCTAATCCAGTTCAACTTTTCATCAGACAGCTTGTTAGCAGGTACATGTTGTCCCCTCTTATCTCCTTCTGCTATTCCAGAAACAGATTTTTTATTGCGTAATGCATAATCTAATCTTTTGTTAGATATTTGCATAACCTTTAAAAAAAAGCTTTTGCAAACTCTTTTGTCCAACAGCATGAATTGGCGTACATAATTTATACGGCTAGAATTTTGAAAATTTTGTCTTTGCTTACGGCGTTTTGGTTCTAAAGTCTTAATGACGCTGCACAACCATGTTGTTTGAGCATCCCATGAGGTGAGCTGATAAAACATTACGTGTATTGCTTCTTGATTTTCAGGTGGAACCTGTTCACTGCATTTAAACCTACAGTTGCATACAACTGGTGTAAATACTTTAGCCAGGACAATATTACCACGTACGTTGCGATATTCTTGGCCTGCAGTTCTTTTTCGCTTCCTTATATTCTTTGCCCATTTGTCGAAATTTCGAACTCTTTTTCTTCCTCTGACAGGCTCATCGGAATCTGGATGATTTATTTCCCCCAAGTTACCTATAGGACCCTCTGGATATCTTCTTTCTTCATTATCTGTAAAGAACAGCATAAGCTTTTTATTATAACTTTCGTGAGTCATTCTAAATTATGTATTATGTTTTCGGCTTACTCACGTAATAATTTGACGAGATACTCGACTAGTTTCAAGCCATGCTAGAGGCCCATATTCATGAGTAGCAGCGCAACAGTCGCTGAGTCGCGTGTCGCGGAATGCTGCTCATGAATATGGGCCTCTAGTATGGCTTGAACCTAGTCGAGTATCTCGTCAAATTATTACGTGAGTAAGCCGAAAACATAATAAATAACAGCATAAGCTGTAACCTAAGCCCAAGCCAGACTCAAACATGAAGCACAAACGCCACAAACGAGTATTTGCTTATAAAAATAGGATATGGAGGTTGTTTATTATTGTATAGCCTTCTTCGTGCTAATTGATAATAAGAACATAAGCGTAGGTAAGCCAGGCAATTTTTTCAAAAAAAAGCATGGTTCTGAAATCGACCTTCAAAACTGCAAAAAAAACTAAAAGCCAACTACGACAAAAAATAAGGCTGAATAGGTAAGTATAAAACAAGCTTTTCAGAATACTGAAAGGCGTAGTCACACGTTGTCAAAGTGCTACGGTAGTGTAACGTGTGACTACGCCTATTTTATTTGTACTATTTTGGTTATTTATTATGTTTTCGGCTTACTCACGTAATAATTTGACGACTAGTTTCAAGCCATGCTAGAGGCCCATATTCATGAGCAGCATTCCGCGACACGCGACTCGGCGACCGTCGCGCTGCTACTGTCTAGTCGAGTACTTGTCAAATTATTACGTGAGTAAGCCGAAAACATAATAAATAATTTAGAATGTCTCACGAAAGTTATAATAAAAATGTACTATTTTGGTGTTCAAGTGTAATTATGGCTCTCCAGCCTTTAATATTCGAAAACAATACATACCTTCATTGTCTTCTAATTCTGTGGAAATTTCAACATTTTGCTCTGGATGGTAAGAAGAATGATCACTTGAAAAATCTTAATTTATTGAAGTTGACGAAGATGGCAGCGGCGAAGATGGCAATGCCATATTTACTATTCTTTTAGCTCTGTTTCTGTTATCCATTGCTTACGTAACAATCAATTTCAATTTCAACAAAATGTTTAATAAGGCAAAAGACAATCGCCAATCGCAAGCGCATGTTTTATTTATTTTTTTGTCATACGTGCTTTGACGGCCTGTAACAAAGGAGTATCTACGCTCGTTTCTTGAAGGTCGTATCGGTTCGGGAATACTGCCGTCAGAACAATACATAGGTACCTAATCAAATTAGGCCAGTATAAAAATATTCAGTGTGTTTGTAAAAATTTCAAACCATATTAAATTTTGATAAAAATACCTAAATGGTTTATGTAGGTATACGCAATTAATTTATATTTCTTTATTGCATTTAGATCAGTTTGGAAATCCACAAAAGCCAGCAACTTGCGACCATAGTGATCTAAGTGCGCCTCATTACTTAGATCAGTCTGGCATGTCTCCATTTTGCAAATCGCACCGATTCTATAGTGAGATGTTGTGATTTCTCAAGGAAAATAATACTGGGAAGCACTTAGATCAGTATGGCCTGAAATAATTATGATTTTTCCATGCAATTGTGTAAAAAAACAATTTTTGCCAAAAATGTCACTTAGATCACTCTGGTTCTAGCATCGTCAATTGCACTTATAATAAAATTGTGTTGGTGTATTTATTAGGTATAATTGAAATACACTGAGTAGTTATTCAACTCAATGTTTAAATTAACATTATAAATGTACTTAATTGATGAATTTATTATTAATTATGAATATGTGTAAAAGATAAATTGTTATAAATTTATTTAATGTTGTCAGTATTTTAGGAGGTATAAAATAAAATAAAGATAAATATTACAATAATATGTATTTTATTTTACAGTTAAAACTTATTTGTTTACAATACTTATTACCAGTTATCAAAAGCGCCAAAACCATATTTTTTATCGTTTTTAACCTTTTTGGCGGGAGGTTCTTGTGTTTTTGTTGGTTTACTACTCGTCGCTGGTGGCGCCACTTCCTGTAAATTAAGATATTTGCCAACTCCATCTCTAAACACTTTTAGCGGTTGTTTGGCTTTCTTCGGCCTAACCTGTGACCCTTCTTCCTCTGCTTTCCTTTTAAGTTCCTCTGCTCTGTCTTTGACAAGCTGAAACAATGAGTAAGGCATTGATAAATTAATAATTCCATTCAAAATTAAAACTCTCCTAATACGAATACCCCTAACATACTAACTTACAAACTTTTCCTCTTTAAAATATTAGTATAGAATGTACAATAAACTCATGGATAGAGTATTCAGCTACTTTTGAGTGGGACAAGCTACTTAAAAATAGGAATCATATTTGATTCTAGGCATATGAATCTTCTAACTATACAATCTTGTAGTACCTACTACTATTTTTTTTCTAAAAGGAAATCATTAAATGACTCTTACTGACTAAAAACCCCTTTTCCTGCTTTAGGCCGAGGATGCGGTGCCATAATGCGCCTACCCCGCAAGCCCAGCTGAACATCAGCCCTTTAGGGCCCCGTCTGTGGTGGTCTATTGGCTCTATGAGCGCGCGCGGAACCCTACGCGCCGTACGCTCGGGTCTGTTTCGGTCGGGCGGCGAGTTACCTTTACTCGCGATCCGCAGACCCTTATCGTGACCCATCTTTTAGTACTAATGTCCAATAATTATACCAGTATAATAAGTATACCTATCACAAATAACGAGTATTTATATCAGTTACCTGTTCTTCGGCCTCAGCAAAAGGGTCCACAAAGACTTGCGCAACTTCTATAACAATATCTTCAATAGGCCGGTCCTTATTGTCCACCTCAATCTGCTCCATGGCCGTAAGAGTGTCCATACCGCCGACCAGCTTACCGAATATTGTGTGCTTGCCGTCCAATTGCTTGCACGAGCGGAAGGTTATGAAACTGAAAGCATAAAAGCAGAGTTAATAATTCCTGTAATGGAATTTGTGTCTAGTCAATCTTTTTTTTGCAATCGACCATTATGTTTTCTTGGGGTAAGCGACAATGTAGCCATCTATGGTGCATGTGTGAGAGAGCCAAGTTTCGGCACGAATGGGTCAGGTTGAGTGAGGTTACCGGAAGCCCAATCCCTCGACCTCCCCCATTCCTTCCCAATCCTTAAATATCAGACCCTTATCCCTAAAAGACCGCCAATGCACTCGAAACTCCTTTGGAGTTGCGGATGTCCATGGGCGGCGCTGAATGCTTAACAACAGGTAATCAGTCTGCTAGTTTGCAGACCTATACCATAAAAAATAAATAACTTATTTATTACAGTTACCTACTAGTTAGAAAGTGTGTTCTTATTCCGAATAGTTACAGTTAAATACAGTTTGTAAAGTAGATCGTAAAAGCGACTGCTGAACGAAATATCTCGAACAAGATTTCCATATATTTATTTAGTTTTCGGTATACAAAACTCAGTCAGTCTGTTTCAAGATTGAAAAGCGGAATGTCGCTTAAAATAATTAATATACATACAACTGTGATCCATTAGTATTTGGTCCAGAGTTCGCCATAGACAGCACTCCTCTGCCAGTGTGATGTAAATTGGGTTTGACCTCATCTTCAAATGGTTTCTTCCAAACTGACTCCCCACCCAAACCTGTGCCTGTTGGATCGCCTCCTTGGATCTGAGAAAAAAAATATTCTTTATAGGTTTAAAAGTTTGCCCAAAACAAACAGCAAACTTTCAAGCTATTGCCTCCGCAATGTGGTGATGAACTGTATTTAATAAATTTTGAGCAAAATTGGCACAGCATAGTTTTTATATGTATGGACTACTTTATGCCTTGGTATTGCGGAAACGCTGGTAGAAACAAGTATTCCATATTTAATTTTGTAACCAGATTCCCTAGCATTAGACCATAAAGAATGTAGATACTTAGATAATCATACTCACCATAAAATTCCGAATAGACCTATGGAATTTGGTGCCATTGTAATATCCATTGTTGCAGTGTCTGATGAAGTTGTCACATGCTTTGGGTGTCAAGTCGCAGTACAGCTCAAAGTTTAGGGGACCTAGGTTTGTGACTAGCCTTACATATCCTGAAAACAAACAAAGCTAAGATGAATAATGGCCCATTTTAGATTGGGATGTAAACTGCATATCACATTATACTAGAGGGAATGGTGATTAAATAATATTTAAGTACCCTCCATACTATTGTTATAATTAATTAGATGACAATCAATATTCAACAGTGATGTTGATAAGAACTTACAAAGAAACTAATAAAAGATAGATAAAGATTAAAAACAATTTGGAAACCTATATTTCAATCTTCAATGGCCATGGTCAGCGCAGACCAAAAGAAACTTATAGAAATGGAGTGCCTAGAACGAGTTTCTTTATCAGCAGGCTTTAGGAGCAGGCCAATCAGAGTGCTTAAAGTCATAAACGTGCCAAACGTAAACCAAACTCGCACTAGGCATTTAGATAAGTTTCTAATCTTTTTATTATTTTTAGCAAAATTTACCCGTTAACTTCTTTAACTTCACTTAATTTATCCATGTAAAATACAACTTTTATATTAATCTCACAACCTGTTTGCTGTACCATGTTCATAATGCATAAGTAATATGGCTACCAACCTTTTTTCTTGACCATATCATATTTGACATCATCTTCACAGATAATAGCAGCTTCATGGACAGTCTCTGGCATCATTGCCGTTGATGTGAAACTGGCAGCCACCATGCCAGTGGAATAATGAGCTGCATTGAATTTATCTGCTACCTGATAACCATTGTAAATTATTATTTATTTTATAGAAAGCATCTGATCAGTTTTTATTTGTTGTATGGTTAAAGGATTGCAAAAGGACTCCTTAGCAAGGAGCTTATGGCATTTCAGCCTCCCAGATCATTCGGTTCCAATGTTCAATTGTCTTTCAGTCTATATAGTTTGATATAAGTTAGCAGGATGATTTTGTATTAATTATGAATAATTTGAACTAAGTCTCATTTAGGTAGACAATAACTTATAAAGGTTATCCAAGAGCACCTGTGACGCAGCTATGCTCAGCAAGAATACTTTCATTGATGAACAGTTTCATGCATCATTATAATAATAGTTTTCATTTCACAATGTTTATCTTAAAGAATAAATGAAACTACTTCTTAAAAATTTGGGGCCTATAAAAATTTTAAGGTTCCACCACTAAAAACTTTAAGAACTACTGCTCTAAAGAAATAATGTCAATAGAGTAAAAACAGTACATACTTCTTTTTTCACTTCCTTCTTTTCAGGTGCTTTATAATCCTTCTCAAGTTCCTGTAAAATATCTTTCGTTTCGGCTGATACAGTTTTCAATCTAGCATGAGGGTCTTTCCTCATTGCTATTTCCTCTGCAAAATAAACAATTTTACTTTATTTAAAACTAGTAGAAAAGTGTTGTAGGAAGATCATGATTAACAGGTTATACATTGCAACTATCATATTCAAAAAATCAAAATATTAAATCTAAAGAAATTTTAATTGTTATGTGATGGAAAAAAAAGTATTTACCTTCAGTCTCCACTCTCAAATTATGTTTAATATGATGGAATGTAGAGATATTAAACTTTGTTAGATTGTTAGGGTCTTGTATAGTTATTATATCTGCTCTCGTGAAAGGAGTATCATTGATCAGGTCCTTCCAGTTCTTTCCCTTGATATTGAGCTGTTCCACAGCCTCATTTGAGTACACATTTCCACTGGTCTTGATGGCAACAATATGAGAGTTTTTTGTAAATGGTTTGAATAACACAGGGCAGTGATAATCTTCCTCAGCATTTTTGAAGAAATTCAACTTTGTTAAGGTTTTTACATCTATTTTCTGCAAATGTAATAACATGATTTATTTACTAGTAATCTTTATTTTACTGAACATCTATTTTTTCTACTCCTATTGGATTAAGTACAAATATTTTAGTCATACTTTAAAATGTGTAATCAAAGTTTTGAACTAAACTTACTTTCCCAGTAACGGGGTTGATTTTGAACTTCTTTACAAACTCTAATACAGCTTGCAACTCAAATATATTGCCATCCATGTCGCAGTAAGGGTCATCGAAAGGCTGAAGGCATAGGCAGCAATGGTCGAACGGCAAGCGTTTAAAGGTTGTGTCTTCTTCCTTACTAGTGCCAGATCTTTTACCTCCGTACAGGGTCGTCCACTCTGTGTACGTAAGGTACCTGAAAATTGTAAACATAGTAAGCAATTATTGCAAAACACATAATGGCAAAATCTATGAGAAAACAGTAATTAATAACAAAACTTTATTTGTAATACATACATTTTATCCTTTTGATGCTGGCGTTTCCCCATGGTGATGCTTGATTTGTATCGATTTTAATAAATAATTAACTAATTTGGGAGTAGCCAAATACACAATACAAACAACGTTTAACTTTCTGAGTTCTGACAGAAAATTACTGAAATCAACAAAAAAGTCAAACTGACATTACTTCTCATTTTGACTTTGACACAATCCATAGAACAAATTATGGTAGTATTTTATAGTTTAATTTATCTATGTTTTTTTGTTTTTATTGTTAAAATACATCATTTCGTATTTCAGACAAAAGTAGCTAGTAATAATAATATATTGGAAGACTGAACACCATAGTAGCTATAAGTTATTATATAACAATATATATATACATTGATGTACATGGCGAAATGTCCGAGAAAACTAACGTGTCAAAGTGGCAACACCTTCGCAACATTTAAAAAAAAAGTTAAAAAATGTCGGAATGTGGTTGTGCTTCGTGTAATTTTTAATAGTTTCGTCACTATATTGCTGATCATTGCTTATTTTTCTAGCAAAAAACTAGTTCATTTACTATCTATTAGCAGTTTGTAAGTATTCAAAAGCTCTGTGTCCAATATTCATATGTATTTGTTTCAAATCTGAGCTTGTGTGCATTCCGTGAATTTCAGTAGTTGTTTGTGTTGGTGAGGGTGACAGACAAATGGATGAAATGTGGTAGAAGTGGATTGAAGCACTAAAAGCCTTGCCTGGACTCCCTGGGTCGACTTTAATCATTTATTAAGGTATAATTCATTCTTGTATCTCTTATCAAAGAGCGGTATTAGTGCGGAAAGTAACAGGCTGCCTATTTACGCTTTGCAGTTCGGGGCATCTAACACGGAGATTACATTATTAATGTTGCACAAATTTTGCACATGTCGTCGGTGAATTTCGTTACGTGTTAACTGTTGTATGTAAGGAGCAGTGTATTTCATTGAATTGAGTCGGTGGTGAATAAAAAAATTGTAAATTATCGGATAACGCCAGCCCCCAAGATGGCCGACTGTTATTCGTAAGGTACAAATAAATCTTTTCCATTTCATACTGCATTGTTGTTTTGAGTTAAATCGTTAAGCAAGTGTTAGTAGACCATAGTATTTTTTATTTATTTTAATTTCGATGTTTGCCGTATGAGGTATTAGTAGTAGGAATGTCTTTGTTCTAGTCATTATGTTCTTGTAGAAATAAAAAAACATGCTCTTCTTTTGTGATTTTGTGACTAAAAGTTACTTGCAATGTGTATGTGGTTGCATTTATATGTGTCACTAGTACCTAATTATTCTACAAAGGTCAATTAAGTTCATTGCTCATTGTCAAGTCATTGCACTTTCAGATTTATTTGCTCATATCATTGTGTCATCAAACCTGTTTATTTTGGGATCATTCCCACAAGGATTTCTGATTGATTTTGTTCAACCATCAGCATGTGCTCATCACCATATGTTTAACACCTTTCCAATAATTTTATTCATCCAGCAAGCTTTTTAATTAGCCGCTTTTTGGTTTAGCAGAATGAGTAATTGCGTGCTTCTAGATAATGAGCGGTGCATCTGGTTCATCAGGGAGTGGTACGGGACGCGGCAGAGGTTCAAGCTCTAACGGGGCCATTGCAGAGAGTAAACCGGAAACAAAAGAAAATAAACCTAACTCCAAGATGTCGAAGGCACTTGGGACATCAGCGAAGAGGATCCAGAAGGAACTTGCAGAGATTACACTAGACCCTCCACCAAACTGCAGTGCAGGGCCCAAAGGAGACAACTTATATGAATGGGTCTCCACTATTCTAGGACCACCTGGTTCAGTATATGAAGGAGGAGTGTTCTTCCTTGACATCCATTTCTCTCCAGAGTACCCATTCAAACCTCCTAAGGTATTACATTCTTTATTTTTTAACTTTGTTCTTTATGCTAATAGTATTGATATTTTGTGATCCAGGGTTGCAATTTTATTACTTTAAATCAATTATTGTTTTAACATATACTCTTATAATTATTTGATCAAAGTGATTATGTTAACAAAATGTACCATTAAATTCACTTTTCGCTAATCAAGAGTTCCATTTAATAGGGGCTTGTTGTCATGTCAGAGGCAATTATGAAAAAAATATTTGCCTGACCTAAGATCTCTTTTATTATTACTTACACACATGGTTTTACACCAATGAAGCAGCAGTTGATGCAATTTGTAAAGTCAGTTATCATGTTAGTATCAAAGTATTGAAGTATCTGTAGGTATTCTTTTTATTTACTACTTTAATCAGTTGATAGCTGGGTCTTTGACCTTGTCATTGACATTAAAGTTCATTTTTTTAAGTAAAAGATACTAATGTATTACTAAAATTATGTCATGTCTCAAAGATTTGTTTGTTATGACATAGACATATTTATACATTATATTTTCTTTTGTCAGTGAAAAATTCTGATTTCTCCAACCTTTTAGTAGTTTATTATAAAATTACGCCTTTTACACCTATTAATTTTCTTAATTCCGTCAAGCGTAATTCCTCTCAAAATGTATTAATGTTATGAAAAAATCGAATGTTGTTTTAAATACAACTCGCATCCTCAAAATTTATTCACTCTATACCCGCGTACGTATCGACCTATAAGTATAATATGGAATCAATTCAATCTCCCCGAACTCTAGCCGATCGTGTCTAGCAACACCCTTATTCGAGGTCCGGCCCCGCGTGGGGTCGCGTTACGCCCTAGTATTTAATTAGTGCTAACATCCCCCAGCGCTCGCCATTGTCCGAGGAATCAATCAATGCTATACATGGCTAAACGTTTCGTACGTTGAAGCATTTTCGGAAACTCCCTTGATATTTCTTTGCAAGTTTAAATTGCCTACAATTCATCATTCGTTTAATTTCAATGAACTTCAGAAAGATGAAAATAGTTGAAGAATCTGGGACGAGGACGGTTCACTAAAAATACATCTCGAGAGCACTACATCAATCACTCTGCCGCATCATTTTCTTGACTCGTCAAAACACAGTACTTACACACTTTTCTTACACATCCAAACTCATTTTTGAACTCCTTGATTTTATTTCGAACGTATTTTAACTTCGTCTTAAATTGGATCCCAATTATTAGTTTTTGTCTGATGTCGGACGGAACAAAACCGCAACACTTCCAAGAAACGCTTTTAGCTCCAAACCCGATTTCCAAAACTTCTTTTTTAAATTTTAAGAATAGTATAATGACGGATTCTTCCCATAAATGTGTACTTCGTACTACATAAAGAATTTATGAAGTACGAAGGTTTCCGTGAAACCTTCCAAGGTATTGAAAACAGCTTTGAACAAACAATTTCATTCGTAATTTCTTTTGTTAGCGGGAGAACCCTCGTCGAGTGTAGAATTACGGTAGCCAGCCGTTCATTATTATAGTAAATATGATTTTACGGTGCAATTATTAATACGCTGATGGCAGTTATCTCCCTCGACGTTAATGCACATTGGCCTTAGTTCTCTTCCAAATGGCGTGAGACAAAATTTTCGTCCCTACTATAAATAGCCTATTACGTCATCAGAAGTACCTGTATCCTTTTTCGAGATGCAGATTCTTTTATGCGAATTTTATTGTCAATTTAGATTGATGAGCTTACAGGGTCTAACAAAGAAAAAAAAGTTAACCTTGTAATTTCCCTATGATAATCATGTTTGGTTGCGATATCCCACGATTTTATTAGTGATTCAATGCTGTCATTCGGTGGGGCAATATCCTCGCTAGATTGATACGGTTCGTAACTTGACGAAGCGTATCGTGATAGGCGATTTCGCACCATGGTGAATTTGAAATGACATGGTAAAAGTGTAGGAGCTACTATTTGTGTAGGATTGTTTGGATGAAATCCTAATCTCCATACAATTTAACATTACCCACGTCGGTGTTAGGTGGAATCTACCTAGTCATTAAAGGTAGAAAATATATTTTGAATCATTATTTTGGGTATTGTGTAAACTATAAACTAAACATTATTTTGTTTATTGCCATTGAAAGCATATTCCATATATTTGTTATAATTGTTATTTGAAACATTAAATCTGTAAATATTTGAGACTTACAAATTTGAAGATATTTACTAATAATATTTAATGTGTATTTCAGGTGACATTCCGGACTAGGATATATCATTGTAACATCAATAGCCAGGGAGTCATTTGTCTAGACATTCTGAAAGATAACTGGTCTCCAGCGCTGACAATATCTAAAGTTTTACTATCAATATGCTCCTTGCTCACTGACTGTAATCCAGGTAACTATGTTTTTTTTATTGTGCATATTGATTAAAGTAACATACTCTGTTGATATTATAACTAGACCATGATATTTTGTAGTTCTCCTAAGCGTATATGAATAGCAGTGGTTATATTGCTTCGGCCGTGGTTGCGGGTTAAGCGCAATGAGTGACCGCGGCCCTGGCCCAGAGCAGGAGAAGGAACGGTTTTTTAGTCAGTAAGAGTCTGACACTCTCTCTCGCCTAACCCTGGGCAGGAGAAGTCATTTGATGATTTTGCCCTGGCAAAAAAGTGGTTATATTGCTATTGGCATGACTATAATAATATGTAATTGTTTGCGCTTAGGTGTGGTTTGGTAGTTGCAAGAATGTTTGTTAAGCTCATTGAATATAAACATGTACCTATTAGATCATAATGTATTGAACTAGGCAAATATTATATTACTTAGTCTAAAATTTGGTTACACATCGTAAAATTATGAATGCGACATTAATTCCTAACAAAGTATACAGATAAGTTTCGTCTATACTTGAACCTATTTATATATTCTATACTTAAAAAGTAAATACTGCTGTTATCCTAATATCAGTTCTATGTCAACTTTCTAACAAAAGCTCTTGATAGTCTCGAGAGGTCAAAGCCCTCACGTCCTCAATGTCCTCCCGGTGTTTTGTTCACGCTTAAACGCTAATCCTATCGCCACGTTTATTTATATCCATACTAGTTTGTACAGCGACATTTAATTTCAAAAATCAGTGATATTAGTATACTTACAGGTTCATAAGATGCACGATTTTATTCTTACAGACAAAAATACTCAGTTCCATACATTAAATGCATTGGTTTAGATTATGTTGGTATTGTATAGCTAGGATATCTATTTCTCCCAATCGTCGACTATTCGCAACAGGCGCCAACACTCGGTTACTCATTGAGATAGAAGAAAAATTCCATTATTTACCCACCTCGGGTATCAAAACATGTTCTCAGCTGTCGTGTTCACGACACACAGAATGAAGTCTGGTTATTTTTAAAATTTTCAATATTGAACAACGTCCTGGAATACCCCTCGCTTAAAATAATGTGATTGTTTCCTGTGGGTGAAATGAACAATGTAAACTGATGGATTCTATGATAACTAGAGAATTTTTATTCACTTTCAGCGGATCCTTTAGTGGGTAGCATCGCAACACAATATCTCCAGAACAGAGAGGAACACGATCGCATCGCGCGCCTCTGGACTAAGCGCTACGCGACATGATTGCCCTGCCCCCACACCGCCGCTAAGGAACAACCTGCAGTATCATACTCAATACCATTCTGTTCTAAATCCATCCTGTTCACGTAAATGTAAGCTTATAATGTTAAATCCGATGACTCCGCGCTCCCAGGGACACATTTGTTACCTGCGCCGTCAGCCGCACTTGACAAATGTGCCCCGGTATAGCGCGGGAGGTTTATACAGCTTATTAATTTTTAGTTGCAATTAATGTGATGTCAGTATGCTTAATGACGGTCTGAATTATATAATTTTAGAATGATGAACGATTTAGTTGTGAATTGAATGATTTTCTGTTAATGTTTCTAGCTCTGTATTATACATAATACAGTGATAAGTTTACTAATGAAAGTGTATCGTAGGTTTAACCAGTGATTTGAGTCAATTTTGCCGCTATAACGCGATGATCTCATACACTCTTCACCTGTTACTACTTATGTGTAAGTATGTCTGAACTATAGCGATACCTACTATTAAAGTTTGGGAATAAATCGCATTATTGTATTGTAAAATGTTTTTGATTTCAGGCTAATACTTGCATGTCTTATTGGATTTAGAGTAATCTTTAAAGACATTATCTTAACTGCTGTCAGTCCCCAGCCTAATTTGATTTAAAATTGCATTGCTTATACTATAGTTCCTTTGTTGAGTCAGTTAATAATTAATGTTAATGCAATATTTTATACAAATTCAACACAATCGCCCCTGTGCTGTGCAATGTATGACATACATCCTCATTCTTTGCCACAAATGTCTTCACATAAATCACTGAAAGGTTGTAATTCCTCTTGTCCTACTGAATTTTGCGTTCGTAATAATTTAATACTTATATTTTGGAGATAAAATGTGACAGAACTGGCAGCATTGATAAAGTACAAACTGAGATGGTTTCAAAAATTACATGAACAACCACCAATCTACTACCAACTTCAATGCTTTGTAATTATAATTAAGATTTTAAGCCTTATTTCAAGAACAAGCAATAAAGTTGCTTATATTCTAGTGAGATGTCACATGTTTGTTGAGGAAACAATGCAAAATTATAGTTTTGTGAATGTATAAAATAAATAGGATGTTTGCTTTGGAGAGTCAAGTCAGTCAATACCTGTACTATGTACGTATTATATTTTTAACGAATCTAATTTTGGTTTATTGTCATTAATTTTATTAGCGAATGCGTTATGAATGTCGCTGAAAGCTTCATTTGACTGAAAACTGAGAAAAGTTACATTAGATAGGTTTTCAACATGGTCCATTTTGTTAAGGATTAGATAGTCAAATTATTTGAAATTTTAAGACTTCGTAACAAAACGGGGACGTATAGTTTGTTTGTTTTATTTGTGCAATTTAAAGGGATTTTTTTATATATGTAATTAAATCTTGTTTTATTTTACATTGTATGACTAATGACTACAAACAATTATCGTTGATTGTGTAGAGTAGGCCTGGGATATAATAACCTATTTATTTTTATATTATTGACTTATGAAATATATATTACGCATGTCTCTTCGTTATAACCGTTTGATGTAAAGTGATTCGACAATATAATGTACGGCGTCGTCACGGTAGCAGCGGACTTCGGATTTGATAGCATGTTTTACGCGTTATCACATATCAATTTACCATCTGGATAATAAATTGAAATTTAGATTTATTTGTTGTGATAATTTTGACTACTTTTACCATTATCTAAGTGCCAAAACTCAGGCACATTGGCCTCCGCTCCAGTCTGACATCTCCAACTTTTCTAAAATATTCCGTTTAGTATGTAAACAGTATTAGGTGTAAGTTATTTTATTGTCTAGATAATGTATAATGTATGTCTTAACCTTAGAACTAATTAGAATTTTAGCGTTGTAATGATTTTAACTAAAAGTGTATGTATGTCGCGCGTATATGAATGTTTTGGTGATACCGTCGTGGAAATGAAGATTTTATAAATTGGGTGATACCGCGAGTGTCGGAACTGGTGCTGTGAGATTCAGATGCTTGCGACATACAGATGAATACTGATCAATGTATTCGGGACTGGTATATTTTGTCATTGTGATTTTTAAATTATTTTATACTGTGACTTGAAATGTGTTGCTTGCAAGACAACAGCTGTATTTATCGCGACTGATGTTCCTCGAAATTCAACGTTCATGCTCTGAAACCTAATATCCTTTGTTATTACAATTTATATCATGGTATAAAATAGGAAAATAAAAATGTGTGTTACTAGGACACTCAATGCTGTTTTATTTATTCCTGATTAAAACGCAGTTTTGAATAATGCAGTTTTTTATTATAAATATACATCAACTAGAAACACTTCCAAACGTTACAAAGATCTAATATTCCGTTTTTAAATTAGATGCAATATTCTTATAAATAATTCAGGCGATTTGTTTAGGAAGTGGCAAACACACGTAGAGATCGCGGCATGTTCCCGACATTGCGTCTAATCAACAAACGAATCGTACAAATCGAATAATATTTTATGTAATATAATAAATGTGCACCACTTCTACATTGGTTGCATATGAATAGTAAAGGGTACAATAATGATTTCACTACTACAAAATTGAATTGAGATTTAGGTAAGTATAAAAAGTAGGAAGTTCCGATAAAGTTTTTGGCGTAATGTATCCATTTCTATTCGAAAAATCAGTCTTCTACACTGAGCACACTTCATTGTGAACTTTTAAGAAAAATCTGTGCATTGTGCTTTATCACTCCATCACTTGCAAATACATATGGCAAAGTTTTAAAACTACACGCATATCAAAGTATACACAGTACCTCCAGTTACTGATATTTTAAGCATTTACGAAGATTGTATGTTAACATTTAAATCTTACTTTAAATAAAATAAACAAAATATCTGTAGTAACAATAATAAAATAAATTATTTCAAAATATACATAGATTCGACATCTTAAAGTGTACTTAATCACAACTTTGTAAAAAAAATGTAGGTATTTGGGGAAAATATTGGGCACTGCTATTAAATCTAACTATATAAAATATGGAAAATACCGTCGTAAATGTTTTTATACGGTTTCGTATTGACTACGAATGGAGCGAGCGAGACAGCAAGCGAATATAACTCCAAGCAGCTGAAATAGAAAAAAAAACAGTTTGGGTCCGTTCACACAGACCGGCTCGGAGAGGAGAGCAGATTCTTATCACGATGAAAACAGAGTTTTTAGTATGTGTATTAAGGTTTATTTTTTTATGTGCACAGCTTTTGTCATTAAGAATGCTTGAAGGCGCTTGGTGTGAAATAATAAGAGGAGCTGACCGGCTCCGATCGCGTACTTTTTCTCGATCGTGCAGCCGTTTGGCTCCGATTGCATGCTCTTTAATGCTCGCGCAGCCGATCGGTTCCGATCGCGTGCTCTTTCTCGCTCGCGCAGCCGATCGGCTCCGATTGCGTGCTCTTTCTCGCTCGCGCAGCCGATCGGTTCCGATTGCGTGCCCGTCGCACCACGCCGACTGCCATTTTGCTTTCAACAAGCAAGCGACAGCCGGCTTTCGCGCCCCTATTGTATTTCTATCGTGTCTCGAATCACTTGTGTTCGAAGTTTTCAAACGGAACAGTTGTATGCACTTGTAGGAAAACATGACTGACGAAAAATTAATAATACTAGTGTCAAAATATGAGTGTTTATTTGACATAACCAAGCCATCGTATAGCGATCGGGTAATGAAAGACAATGCGTGGGAGGAAATAAGCAAATGTGTGGGGTTAAGTGGTAAGTACCTACTAAGATTTTATTGTTTTACACCTATCTCCAGATATTCGAACGAATTCTAAAGTAAGGGCTTCTTAATTTGCCGTAACTTGTTAAATTCAAAGTCAAAACAGGAATAACATGAGTTTAAATGTACCCTCACTTTACTCGTAAAAATCGTTTGAGTATCTGAACGTTACAATATACCTACTCAAGAAGTAGCGAACAATTTTTATTAAATATAACTTAAGAAACTCGAGTGGCCACTTGATCTTGCCAATCTAAAGCACCACTTGCTGAAAAATAATCCTTAAATTTATTTCTTATGGTTATACCTGCGTCGATATTAGAACTATTTTCATCATTATTGTCTGTTATCGCTGTTAATAAATTCATATTGCTGTGAAGAACATTCTCTTGTCCTGGTGATGGCGTCCGATTTTCTATTAAAAAATTATGTAAACATGTAGTTGCTAATATAATTAAGTCACAGTACTTCGGTTGGATTTTCATTCGTTTTTGATAAATCTCAAATCTTTGAGTTAGCATTCCAAATGCACATTCTACGACTTTTCTTGCTCTGCTTAAACGCAGATTAAATACTTTTTTTGATAAGTCTGTTCTTGTTTGTTCTCTCGGATACGGCCGCAATATGTTATTGCTCAAAGGGAATGCTTCATCTCCTATGAAAACATGTGGTAAGCTTTCAGTGGTATTCGGTAGAGGTTTATTTGGGGGCAGCTTTAACTTATTAGTGTTCAGTTTTTTTCCAAATTTTGAATTTTGTAAAATTCCACCGTCGCTATTTTTACCATACGATCCGACATCAACAATTAAAAAGTTGTATTTCGCGTCTACCACAGCTAGTAACACTGTACTGAAAAAATTTTTATAATTATAGTATAAGCTTCCACTATTATCTGGTGCCTGTATACTGACGTGCTTTCCGTCTATAGCGCCCAAACAGTTAGGAAAATTCCAAATATTAAAGAAATCACGAGAGACCTTGTCCCACATTTCTTCATCTGGTATCTGCATAACTAAGGGCATCAAAACATCACAAATTGCTCTGATTGTCTCGTGAATTATTGAATGAACTGTAGAAATTCCCATTCGGAAATTAAATGACAAGTTTTTGAAACTGCAACCAGTAATGAGGAATCTGTAAAAACAAACAAAAAATCTAAATATAACATTGCCGCGCCAAAACGAAGTATAAATTAAAGAAAACAGTCCACTGACTGCATGCTCATTTACCCGATGAACTAAAGGAGGGTGATGTTTTTAATTTATTTATTTCTATTTTTTCCAGTTAGGCAGTGCATGGATCGTTGGAAGAAACTGCGAGATAACTTCAGAAAAGCTTATCATAACCGAAAAGGGAAGAGTGGCGATGGTGCGACATCATCCAAATTAATAAAATTTGAAAAAGAACTTTCGTTTATAATACCGTTTTTTCGTAATCGGAACCAAATATCTAATGTTACATTATCATCGGATGAATCGGAACCTGGCACACCACTACCACCAGCATCGACATCATCTAAACGTTCTGACCATTCCGAAGTTGAATCGCTTGCAAGTACTTCCGACTCGAAAAAGAGAACACGCTTAAACAAAGATGTTGCTACGGTTTTCGAAGAATATCTTGAAGAAAAAAAAAATACTAAACCCTTTGACAAGGCATTACGCAATTTTTTTTTGTCTATGTCAGATACAGTGGAAACGTTTCCAAAAGAAGTTCAAGCACGAATTAAAAAGCGCGTTTTTGACATTGTTAACGAAGCTGAATTGAGTCTGTATGAAAATAGTGCAGATTTGAATTATTCTTTGCCAATAAATTCTCCGCCATCCTCTAATCCATCTACTTACCATCAGTTATCAAACGAAACCTATATTTGTCAAAACTATCCAGATCAGACTACTTACGGGTACAGTACAAACACACAAAATACAAAATAATTAATAAACACAGACAATCAAAATAATGAAAGTCAAATCTGCACTATTTAATTACATTCAGCCATTCAATTAGGTGTAATCTTTAACTTTAACCATTTAATTTTAAGCAATGTTTAGTTTAATAACTGTTTCTTTTACTGTCTAATATTTGATATTTCAATCAATCAGGACAATAACGGCAACATACGTTAACAAAGCTTCGGCTGTGATCTTGTGACCTGAATAAGATGATTATTATAAATGATTGTTTTTTATTTACTTACCTTAAAGTTACCGTTAATCTTTCTTCGGCTGGAATGGTGCAACGATAATTTGTAGTCGTTTTTGTTATATGTACTCTTAACAAATCTGTCAATTTTAAAAATTGCCAATATTCCATACGATAATACTCATAAAATTTAAGGCTGTCATTCTTCAATTCCTCGAAAATGGTGTGAAACTCCCCATGGATTAATCGATTCTTCCAAATATTTTTTGCCCATATTTGTCTTCGCTTGCGCTTTCGTTTGTTTTGTTCAGCTTCAAACAATCTTGCTAGCAAATATATTTCTTCATCGGAGCTATCTAAATCCATGTTCCGAAAAGCACACGTTAACACCGAAAACAAAACTTGGACTGCGTGGAATACTGGTACTGCCTTTGCAGTGTATCCACCCGGCTCCGAGCGCATCCGACCGGCTCCGAGCGCATCCGACCGGCTGCGAGCGCATCCGACCGGCTGCGAGCGTATCCGACCGGCTGCGAGCACATCCGATCGGCTCCGAGCGCATCCGCTTTCAGGCCGATTCTAGCCGGTCTATGTGGAATAGTTGACGACTCCGCTCCGACCAACTCCAAGCGTATACGATCCGGTCTGTGTGAAAAGAAAAATGCGCGCCGATGCTCTCCGAGCCGGTCTGTGTGAACAGACCCTTTAGTGCATTGAATTTACCATAAATAAATAAAAAATAGTTTCTGATCGTGCTACTTTGGTTCTAAAGATTTGACAGGGTATCGTTACAATTACGATTTTTAAAAAGTAAGTTATTCAAAATCGAAGTACCAAAGAAGAGCTGTCTTTAAGATTTTAATATGTTTGTACATGAAACTTGAACCAGTTTCGCTTCATCTACTTGTGCTTTTATTTCTAACGTTCGAACATAAAGAAACATGAATCACCTGCACAATAGCAACTCCTATGCCTACACCACCAAGCACCATAGCGATATCCTTGAAGTAAGCGACGAGTTTGTTGAGGCAGCCATCTTTGTGGAAGTGTTCAGAGGTCTCAGTGCATGGAGCAGCCACTCCGCTGGTGATCTCTTGGCCTGAGCAGCACGTGCTGGGCAGGGTCGTGATGTTGTTGGCAGCCCAGTCACCAGGACCATAGATACCGCAGCATTGCAACTGAAAATGAGAATTTAGGAATTAGAAGCTGCGTTTGATAGTTCTTTGAAAATACTCATGAATATCAGTCTTAGTTTAGTTGTATACAGTTTTATAGTGGAAACAAAAATATAAATAATAAGTTCACATTGTGGAATGCGATGAATATATTGAGTACTAGCTTCAACCAGTGGCTTCATCCGCGTGGTATGTTGATAAAAAGTAGCCTATGTCCTATTCCCGTACCAAATTTTAATCCAGATCCGTCCAGCCGTTTTGGAGTGATTGAGTATCAAACATCGTAACTTTCGCATTTATAATATTAGTAAAATAAGTTTGAGCATTGAAAATGTAATCTGCCTTCACCAGGTTATTTGTGTGACCAATTTACGGGTATCATCTGCTTACAACTGTACACAAAGGAATCCCATGAACCATGTTTGCTTACTGTTGACAACAGAATTAGTCACGGCTTGCCAGTCTTAGATCACTATTTTTAACATTGTACAGAGTCAGGTCAGCAAACTCATTCTTTTGTAGAACAACCAAAACCTAAAAAATAAACATTACATCACGCCTATTAATTCCTGGTGAGTAGTAATGGGGTAGGCAGAGGGGAATGTTTTAATGTAGGAACTAATTCTCTCCAGTTGTATTAAATCTATTGGTATAAAATACTCCAGACTAGTTGCTGCTACGAAAAGATTGAAAACTCGATCAAAACTTCTAGTTTTTCACCCAAAACACTTTGCCCGGCAGTCGCTCTTGCGGCCACTAGCCTGACTTTCAAGGAATCTATTCAGGGTCCAAAATAAAGTATTATACACTTCCAATTTCAAAATATAATCTCCGTGGTATTACGGTAGGTACTCAGTATGGATTGAATGAATGACTTCGCCACGTATGTCAGGCCTTGACATTGTCAATAAATTAAAATTGTTATGTTAGTATTAAAAGCGACTTTTACACAATATTTTTAATATATAACATTTTTAATTAACTTACATCAGTCTGCACGATGTCGAAGGTTTTGGCGACGTCCTTGTTAGTCGGGTACTCCTTGATAGTCTTGTTGAGGTGATCTACTATAGAGTTCTCCAAGTCTTGGTGTCTCATGTAGCCTGCGATGCCGACGGCCAGCTCAGCCACGAAGATGATCAGCAAGAACACCGAGAACTGTAACGGAAAATGTGTTAAATTAGATAAATGCTAAGTTAAATAAAATTTTGTAACTGTATTGGTCTAGAGTCTATACAACTATAAGTATTTACTCAAATCCGAATAGATAGTCCCTATGCTCTGGAAAAATAAGAACAAGAATTAATTGCTACAAAACCAGGTTATTAAACGACAAAAAGAAAATGGTTTCATGGTGCTTCCAGCTCTCAGATCATTAAATCATATATTGTATTGTTTATCAATGTAAACTATTAGAAATAAATGGATTTTATATTGTATTTCTATATTACCTAATTAACTATTGTTATTGTTCTGTGTTATATGGTGTATGCTTAGTACCAAGAATATAAACAATTGCATAGTACCTAGTCATAAACCAAGTGGAAATATGCGTGAAAATAATGACTGAATGAAACATTTCATCGTTTTCGTGTAAAAAACATTTGTGAGATATATTAAATGATTATAAGCTTCTATTTAAGTGTGGGAGAGCTAAGCTTCGGCACGATTGTGGCGGCTCAACCGGAGTGATACCACGGCTTTAAAGAAAACTGGCGTGAATAAACCACAGCGTGTGAGTGTAGTTACCGGAGGCCCAACCCTATCCCTCCCCCATCCCTAAATCTCTGAAATCCTATATTCTATATTCCCCAAAAAGGCCGGTAACGCGCTCATAACTCCGGTGGTGTTGCGGGTGTCCATGGGCAGCGTCGATTGCTTACCATCAGGTAATCCCTCGGCTTGTTTTCCGACCTACCTATCACATTCCGAGTTCCTCGTCAAACATAACAATGAACGTTACATTACTGACAGATTTGATGTTCCAATTCCCCGAAAGTAAAGCACTATAATTACGTTAAGGCACAAAAATAACACGTTGATTACATGCTAAGTGCTCTTTGTCATGTGTGGTGACGACACTGGCGACAAGTACCGCAGAGTGACGCATCTGATTGTCCCAGATACAACAATTGCTGTTCTTTGTTTGTTGTTTATCTAGACAATCTAAAGCTATGGTCTCTTTAGCTCGTATGTAACACTATTTATCATGAACTAACGCTCATCTCAAACAATTGTGTCATAATGATAAAAAAAATTAGTTCAGGACATTCCCTAACATTCTACATCATTTGGTCCAAAATTCAATCCCATTTTGTAGTTTTCCGTATAGGAGGATAAAACACACACGATGGTCTGTAGGACCTGTCTACAATTTTCTAACGCTATACTGCATAAATTAAGTTGTGACATTGTTACATGTTTTAAATTTGTCGCCTTTTTCGACTACTATAGTGTAGCATAGATAATATGAAATGGTCTATGACCACCGTTCTATACTCTGTGCTTTTTGCGCTTGTCATTTTTCTCTTTGCAATACGCATCCATACAAACATGTTGTAAATTCTCAAGCTACTAAATAAAACTATTTATATCTTTCAAATCGTCGTTTAATTCATCAGGTTATGGGCCCAGGATGCTGAAACATTGAAAGATAAATTAAATTCCGTGAATAGTTTTGAGATTGCATATAACTCACTTTGCAAACCGGCCTGACATCGATTTTTCTAGAAAATTATGGGTTCGAACAACATGAACAATATGACCCTGATAGAAAGATTGACCGGCAGAGATAATTTTGCAAGCTGGAAGTTCGCAGTCAAGACGTATTTGGAGCATGAGGATCTGTGGGAATGCGTATCAGGCACCGGTGATGTCGATCTAAAGAAAGACGTCAAGGCGAAGTCAAAAATAATACTTCTAGTTGATCCCATTAACTATGTCCACGTTCAGGAAGCCAACAGTGCTAAAGAAGTATGGGAAAAGCTCTGTAAAGCTTTTGATGACTCGGGGCTGACACGTCGAGTTGGATTGCTACGAGACCTCATAACGACAACACTAGAAAATTGTCAAAGTATTGAAGAATACGTGAACAAGATCATGACTACGGCACACAAGCTTCGGAACATCGGGTTCAAGGTCGACGACGAGTGGCTAGGCACGTTGTTACTTGCGGGACTCCCTGATGAATACAAGCCAATGATTATGGCAATAGAAAGCTCCGGTGTGGCCATAACAGCAGACTCAATTAAAAGTAAACTGTTACAGGAAGTGAAAAATCGTGATCCAGGTGTATTCTTTGTAAACAAGAGCAAGAATAATAAGCAACCTATCAAACAAAAGTCAAAAGGGCCAAGATGTTATACTTGTAACAAGTACGGACACATCGGCAAAAACTGTAAAGTGAAGAATAACAAGAAACAAAGTGATAACTCTTTTGTAGCCGTTTTCTCAGCAACATCTAGCTATGATTTCGGATGGTATGTGGATTCAGGCGCAGCAATGCACATGACAATGAATAGGGCTTGGATTTATGATGAAAAACCACCACCAATCAAAACTATCCGAGTAGCCAACAACAAGGAGCTGCGAGTCGAGTCCTGTGGTAAGGTGAACATTCATGTTAAAAGCACAAACGGATCTACAAACAGAATACAGGTAACAAATGTCCTTTATGTACCAGAGTTATCAACCAATCTTCTCTCAGTCAGTAACATTGTGAATAATAAATGTAATGTAAAGTTTGACTGTAAAGGTTGTTATTTGTATAACAAAGATAATGTTGAAGTTGCAATGGCAACACTTGTTAATAATATGTACAAGCTGAATGTTGTCTCCGTGCAAGCATTTCTGTCAACAACTAATGATGACTTTTATCTCTGGCATCAGCGACTAGCTCATCTGAACTACAATGACATGAAGAAGCTGAAAGACCACACTGAGGGTGTGAAAATACCTCAGACCAGCGAGCTAACCTGCATACCGTGCATCAAAGGAAAACAGGCAAGGTCACCATTTCCAAGTGAAGGTTCCAGGGCAAGTCAACTGCTAGAAATCATTCACTCAGATATATGTGGACCTATGGAGGTGAACTCTCTCGGAAATGCAAGGTATTTTCTTACATTTACTGATGATTTTTCTAGGAAAGTGTGTGTCTTTACTATCAAATCAAAGTCAGAATGTCTAGATAAATTTAAGGAATATAAGTCATATGTTGAAAATAGACTTAATACTAAAATTAAGACACTACGAACAGATAATGGAACTGAGTACACAAGTAAGAACTTTACTGATTATTTAAAGTTACATGGAATTAAACACCAAACATCAATCCCATATACTCCACAACAAAATGGTCTCTCAGAGCGCATGAACAGAACTCTACTTGAAAAAGCCAGATGTATGTTAATAAATGCTAATTTACAGAAAAATTTATGGGCTGAAGCAGTTAGAACAGCTGCATACATCATCAATCGTTCACCGACGCGAGCTCTGAACTATAAGACACCAGAGGAAGTATGGAGTGGCTGTAAACCTGACTTGAGTCACATGAGGATATTTGGTTGCCAAGCTATGGTGCAGATACCTCAAGAAAAACTGAAGAAATGGGACGCCAAGTCAAGTAAGATGATTTTTGTAGGATATTGTGAAGATAGCAAAGGGTACAGGCTACTTGATCCAACTTCAGGATCCAGGAAAATTCCATAAAACCAGATACAGTACCAGTTACCTTATCTGATGCTGAAAGACAAGAACATGTAAGCAGTAAGAGACTGTCTGAAAGTAGTGACTGTAGTACAGATTTGTCTACTCATACTGCTGTGGAAATGAGTGAAAATGATGATGATGAGGAATATGTGCCCGAGCAGTCAATTGAAGTTCAGCAGCCCTCAACCATGACTCTCCGTCCACGTAACAGACCAATCCCAACCATGGAACCTAAATCATATATATGTATGGCCGATGTACCACAGACATATGAAGAAGCACTCTCCTCTGAAGACTCTGAGATGTGGATAAAGTCTATTAAAGAAGAATTGCAAGCTCATGAGGACAATGGTACTTGGGAGATTGTGAAGAAACCAGACAATGCGAGACTATTAGACTGTAAGTGGGTGTTTCGTGTGAAAAGTGAACCAACAGGTCCTAGGTACAAAGCCAGACTGTGTGCCAAAGGCTTTGCACAGAAAAGTGGCATCGATTACACAGAAACATTCTCTCCGACGGTCAGGTATGACTCCATTCGCTTATTATTGTCTATTGCAGCCGAGAAATGCATGACTTTAAAGCAATTTGATATTAAAACTGCTTTCCTGTATGGTGAATTGCAAGAGAAAATATACATGAAAATCCCTGAAGGATTGAATGTTGAAAATGGCATGGCTTGCAAGCTTATCAAATCCTTATATGGATTGAAACAGGCACCACGCTGTTGGAATGCTAAATTTAATTCAGTTTTAATTAAATATGGCTTTGTGAACTGTCACGCTGATAAATGTGTGTATGTGAGTTTTAATAGAGAAGCTCTAGTATATCTTTTGCTTTATGTGGATGATGGATTGTTATGTTCTACAAATCCAACAATAATAACTGAAGTCCTGAATGATCTTCAGAAAGAATTTAATGTTAAGATTTGTGAAGCTTTGAATTTTATTGGTATACAGATAGAACAATGTAAGGATTACATTTTCATACACCAAAGAAAATATATTGAGAAAATGTTATCAAAATTTAACTTAGATAATGCTAACCCTAATAGTATACCAGCTGATCCGCATGTTACTTTACAGAAAAGCACAGTGCTTGAGGATAAAAAATATTTTCCTTACAGAGAGGCAGTGGGATCGCTTATGTTTGCTGCTATAGTCACCAGACCAGACATTATGTATGCAGTAAGCACTGTGAGCCGGTATCTCAACAGCCATGATCAAAGTCACTGGAATGCTGTCAAGAGAATCTTGAAGTACTTAAAAGGGACACTGTGTTTTGGACTCTGTTACAGGTCAAATGAAAGTAACACTCTGGTATCCTATTCTGATGCTGATTATGCCAATGATCCTGTGACAAGACGGTCTACCACTGGATATGTTTTTATGAAGAACGGGGCAGCAGTGACATGGAACAGTCACCTTCAAACGACTGTCGCGTTGTCCACCACT